CACCGCGGCGGCGCGGATGGCAGCGGCCGCGGCGCGTCCCCATGCGCGTTTTTATGGTCATTTATGAGACCTAAGGAGAAGAAGACAGCGTCTGTCAATCACAGGTCCCACGGGAGTTTGACAGCATCACAACGCTGGTTTTCCTCGCGCTGCAACGAGGACGATCGCTCCACGCAGGCTCGCGCGGGTCACATTTCAGATTAATTGGTGCTGGAAGGAAAAACTCAGAACGAGCATCTCCCTCAATCCTCAGGAAAGTCAGTAAAAAAAACAATTTCACAGGACAGCTCAACACAGATCTGAACCACGGACTCACCAACAGACCCTTAACACATCACACTAGTGCCATCAGCCACGTTTTGCCTCTTTAGGCTCTTTTTTTATGTGCCAAAATGGACGCTCAAATTACTGGTTTTGGAGCTTAATTTTTAAAAGATGGTAATTTTTATTTCCAGATTATCTTTTCAGAGCAGTCTCTGAGGGTCTGCTCATGCACGTAGCCCAGCACAGCCACCACCAGCCCTAAACATAAAGCACAGAACCATTTAGGTCGGAAAAGACCTTTAAGATCATCAAGTCCAACCGTCAACCTAACACTGTCGAGTCCATCATTAAACCACATCCCTAAGCCGTCTTTCACAGAATCACAGAATGGTCAGGGTTGGAAGGGACCTCTGGGGATCATCTACTCCATCTCCCTCGCCAAAACAGGGTCACCCAGAGCAGGCTGCACAGGACCACATCCAGGTGGGTCTTGAATATCTCCAGAGAAGGAGACTCCACAAACCCCACAGGCAGCCTGTTCCAATGCTCCGTTACCCTCAGGGTGAAGAAGTTCTTCCTCATGTTCAGATGGAGCTTCCTCTGCTTCAGTTTGTGCCCGTTACCCCTTGTCCTGTCGCTGGGCACCACTGAAAAGAGTTTGGCCCCGTCCTCCTGACACCCACCCTTCAGATATTTATAGGCATTTCGAAGGTCCCCTCTCAGCCTTCTCTTCTCCAGGCTGAACAAGTCCAGCTCCCTCAGCCTTTCCTCACAGGAGAGATGCTCCAGTCCATTCCTCATCTTTGTAGCCCTATGAGGCTTCAAATACCTCCTGGGATGGGGACTCCACCACTTCCCTGAGCAGCCTGTTCCAGTGCTTGATAACCCTTTCAGTGAAGAAATTTTTCCCAATATCCAATCTAAACCTCCCCTGGTGCAACCTGAGGCCATTTCCTCTCATGCTATTGTTTGTTAATAGGGAGAAGAAACCAACCCCCACCTCGCTACACCCTCATTTCACATAGTTGTAGAGAGCAATAACATCTCCCCTCAGCCTCCTCTCCTCCAGGCTAAACAACCCCAGTTCCCTCAGCTGCTCCTCAAAGAACTTGTGCTCCAGAGCCTTCACCAGCTTTGAGCCTCTTCTCCTTTAAAGCAGCAGGCTCCCAGACGGCCCCAGCTTCGCTGTTGAGTCACTGCACATCCCTCTGCCAAGCCTCCACACCTGCCCGGTGCTTTGATCTGCTAACGAAGCCATTTGCATAACAAATACGTGTCAATTAGGGAGGGTCTGCGCTTGTTAAGCCTGGGTGTTTGGAAAACCTTTCCAATAAAAGGGATTACCAAAGGATTTTTTAGCCTTCTTCACTCTGAGGGTGATGGAGCCCTGGAACAGGCTGCCCAGGGAGGCTGTGGAGTCTCCTTCTCTGGAGATGTTCAAGCCCCCCCTGGACGCGGTGCTGTGCAGCCTGCTGTGGGTGACCCTGCTTCGGGGTTGGACTGGGTGACCCCCAGAGGTCCCTTCCAACCCCGACCATTCTGTGATTTTAGGCATGTGTCAGCCTAGAAAAGCTTTTCCTGCACGAGGGGTCACAGAGCTGCCGGAAGCACAGCGTCAGCAGATCCTGCCTGGACTGCCTGGAGGAGTTGAGGACCACGTTCTCCTCCCTCTCATCACACCCTCGCCACGTAGGAGCTCCTGGACAGAGGCAGATCCCCCCCCTTCAAGGGCCAAGCAGAGTTTGTGGCCTTATTAATGTGGAAAAATTACCTTAGAGGGGGCTATAAATAGTGGTTAGTGCTACGAATAAGCACTGATTCTCTCCAGAGCTAGGAAAGGGCACGCAAATATATCATCCCTGCCATGCTGAGGGGTCAAGGGATGGAGGACGAGGGGCACAGCCCACCCCTGTGCCACCAGCCCCGGGGGCTGCGGAGCAGGGGACCCCTCCCTTCCCCCAAGCCAGGGCCATGCTGAGGGGTCAAGGGATGGAGGACGAGGGGCACAGCCCACCCCTGTGCCACCAGCCCCGGGGGCTGCGGAGCAGGGGACCCCTCCCTTCCGCCAAGCCAGGGGGATCAAGGCCCAGCAGCGCGGGGAATTCCCCCCCACACACACCGTGGGGACACCTAAACCTCCCCCAGGGCGCTCTGCCCTCGGTTCCCTCCCTGCCTTGGCCCACCCAGGACTCCTGGGTCCTCTCCCGAGCACTCCCGGGTCCCCTTCAACTCCTCCTCGGGCCCTTCCCAGGCCTCGGGCCCCTCCCAGGCCTCAGGCTTCCCACCCCCCCATCCCCTCC